AAATACTTCTGAACTGGTTGGTGGTAGTTTAAAATAGAAAGAAAACTTCCTCTCATTGGCTTTTATTCCCTCAGAAAAAGTGAGCAACAACAAAAAGAAAATAAATTTAAAGTACAAATATATTATGTGTATATACTGCACCAACATTACAGGTATTCTCTATAGCCCATTAGCAATCACTGCCTCATACGTATTTTATATGACTGAGGAAATGTCAGAACCTGAATGATAGATACATGGGCAATCACAGAAAACAGAAGTAGAAAAAAAGAAGAAAAACCATTCTGAGATTTCTCAGGACCATAAACATCCTAGTGCTTTATCTGTAGGAAAATAATTTAATAATAATAAGGAATTGGCTCACAGGGAGAATGATTTCTACACTCATCATTGTGTATTTGTATGAGGTCAATGGGGATAGGCAGTAAGTCATGGAAGAAAACTGATGTGACATAGGCAATGGGTTATGAAAGAAGAAAATGATATATATTTTCAGATCCAGCATCCTCAGAGAAATCTAAGAAGTACAATTTAAGGACAAAACTAAAGATAGAGCTTGTCAATTTTAACATGAAAAAAGAACTACCAAAGTGGTTTGGTATACACAAAGGAACTACTGTAAACTTTTATTTTTAAACTTCCTTGCTCCTAGCCATCCCAAACTATAGCCATAAAACAAATTATATAAAGGACAACTTTATATAAAAAAGAAAGTGACAAACTTGAATGAGTTATTGAAAAGCAGCAATATTAGAGTTAAGAAATTAACAACTTGGTTTCTGCCCACTAGTACAGCACATGTTTGATATTTTGCCTGAAGAAAATAAAGTAAAAATTTGTAATAATAAATAGCAAATAAACAGAAGCTTACTACTATTTGTTATCTTAATTAATGTTGAGATTCCATGCAGGGTAAGGTATGTAGGAGGTGAAAAGAAAAGAGATTTAGAAGGAATTATTCAGAAAGTGAAGAACTGGCAACTATCTTTACTTCCTTCAAGTTTTCTGCCCATCTCTGTCCCTCCTCCTTCTACCCAGTTTTCTTGAGACAGTGTTTGCATCAGCTTCTGCTTCTGTATGACAGAATCACTTGTTGCTGGCATGTAAACTAGCTTAGGACTCTACTCAAGTTTGGGGGCAGGATGGGCTGTATTTGAAAGCATGCCACTTTCATTGCTCAGAGGAAAATAGAGACAAACAATCTGACAGGACAAGAGGGGTGCCACAGAAATATTAACAATAACATTTCCAAACATTAATGTTGTTCATGGTTTTCTGAAAAAACAAAAAGGGATTTTTGGGGTGAGAAGCTGTAGTGACACAAGAGCCACTTTGGTATTAGCCTAGTATTATTTCTTCAAGGTCAACAGTAGCGTGAAGTGAGTGACCCTTTCTCTTCAGAACTGTCATAGGGAACAATGTTAGGCCTAACTCAAGTGGTGCTGGCTTATGTCCAGGTTCTACAGTTTCATGTTTTCAAGCTATAAGAAGAGCAGAGGCTTTATTATAAAACTAAGTTGTCATTTTTGTAATGAATACACTAAGTAATAAATAACCAATGAAACAAAAAGTTTCCAATAATTTATAGCAAAGGACCCCCAGCTTCTGGTCCTCTGCATCTGCTGACTTGAATGAGTTTGAGTAAACCAGCCACAAGAAGTTAAAATTCGAGTGGACTGAGCCACCTCCCCGCATGGGACATGTGTGCCTTGATAAGGAACTTAGGATTATATTAGATATTTCTTCGACACCTGCAAATGCACTGCACATGTCACCATGTTCCTGAACATGTTTGGTGGCAATGAAGACTAGCAAACAAACAGTTATAGGACAAAATACAGAGTTCTGTCCAACTTGGAAACCATAACTCCCAGATAGGCAAGGCTGGCCTGGCTAAGACAGATCTTAGTCCTTTAACACTCAAAGCATCCTCCGGCTGGCTCAAACCCAAACAGGGGATTCTGTCCTCAGATCTTAATTTTGTATATCTTCTTCTTCATTAAAATCTCAAATGCCTAAACATTTGAAATTTAAATTTTACCATATAAGTTTGGGTTGGAAGAACCTGAGAAAGACAAACAGTATGTTTGATGGGCTAAGAAACAATGTGAAAGAGGAGAGGAAAGAAGAAAAGCGTAGTCAAGGGTCAAGCTGAAGAATGATTTAAACAATCTAAATTGAACTCAATTAACTTTTTGTCCATGACCCCATGTCATTTGAAAATTATTTATTTTGCACAGCATTCTTGACTTCTGACACTTTTGTAAAAAGTGCTTCGTATACTTAAAATAATGTGTCAAAACAAATCTCTTAGGAAGTTACAATTAAATTTAGACTCATAATTTAAAGCTTTCATTTGAATATATACAACCATAAGAGATAAACCAGAAGACATGTATGCGTGGGCTGCTTCAGCTGAACTACATTCAGTTAGATGGATTATAATTTGTTCTTAGAAGGAAAAGAGTATTCTAATTCACTGTGCTCTGCTTACTATAATGCAGCCTTAGCCCTGTTGGAGAATGTGGCATTTAGTTATTTTCATCTCTTTTTATTTTTGTTTTAGAGTTTCTGATGAGACTAATTACATAGACATAAGGGACAGGGCAGAGAGAATGAAGGGGACGGTGAGAAAGGGGAAAAGACTACCTTGGAAATGCAGATATAAATAAGGAGACTGCTGGGAAAAGGAAAGTATAAACCCAAGCAGGCACTATGATTCTGAGATGTATAACTGTATAAATGCACCCATATCATTTCCTCTAGAAATTACATTTCAGAAAATTCTATATGTTTTCTATAACCTGGAGTATAACCTGGAGAATGCTGAGTGATAACAAATGTAGGAGAAAATACAGACAAATGGTGAATTGTTGTAGGAAAAATGAGGTTTCCTATAGACACATGAGCTTTTACTAATGAACTAATGATCTCATACACAAGTTTTCGCTTTGAAGGATTCCTCATGCACAGGTGTGAAGGCTCTAGAGTTGAAGAAGACAATCTCTATCCTGAAAAGAGCAGGTAATTATAGCAGAGCTGTATGATGATTTCATTACTGTCGTGTAGAAGGTACCTTGGTGCTGCTAATGCCAAGCAAAATCAGTCACAAATACCATTTCTTTAGTTTCAGAAATAGAGAATATATTACTTAATTTCTGCTTTATGATATTTGCATTTTGCTTTATGAGTTGGAATGCAGAGCAAAATCTAAAGTCGAAAAAGACTGCCCACCTACATCATTACTGGTATAATGTATAAGAACCAGTGACTTTGTGGCTTGAGAGGCGTAACGGAAGAGTTAAGATGACATTGCATGAAGTATAACCCAAACCTCCAAAAAGCTATTTCACATTAAAAGAAATATTGTTATACAACAGACAACTAAGAGGTCTTGTGAAAACAGGTCCTAACTTCGGGGGGTTTTATTTACAAAAATAAATCTGTTCCATTTCCTGATTGATAATTGGCCATCTTCAGAGCTCTAAAACAAATGTTTTCAACTACAAGAGGTGGAGGAAGAGAATACATCCTGCATATCAATCAAATTCCATTTTATTGGCTTGTCAGGTATTTATTTACCAGCAATTTTAAATCTGAGAATTATGGGAGCTCAAGGTCAGTGGCATCTTTGGACTCATGGACTACTGTGCTTGTTCCCAAATATCACTAGGGCACAGAGACTGTCATTGCATTTGGTAATGAGTCCACAACAGTGCTCAGCTACCCACCTGTCAACAATGCTACTTGATTTCTTTCCTACCTATCTTGGAAGATCGTGATACAACCCCATTTTATTTTCCCAAGTGAGCAAACTTGGGATGTAACATTCTTTTTTAGTTCTTTATTCACTAGACTTGTTTTTATTAACCACAGAGGAAAACTAAGCTAAAATCACTTTTATGCTCCCCTCTGCCTTTAATCGTGAATGGGGGTTTTCTTCAGCCTTTCAGAGCCATCTTAAGATATAGATCTCAAAGCGACCCTCCTCAGTTATGTCAATACCCATGCACAAAGGGGTTTTAGATACTGAGGGACAAAGGTTCAGGTTTGTTCAGATAATTTTCCCTAGACATACACTTTAAATACTCTCTTAAAATGCATGAAATTGTATCTCCTCAATAATTTATCTTTGATCATTATTCATGATTACAAGAATTTAGTAAGATTCACCTTAAGATATACTGCATCTTAAACATCCACTCATCTGAAATACATAGTCTAATTTGACATAAAGCAGGCAATAGGCAACTGCTTCTGCAGGGCAATTACAAAAACTCTTCCATCCAATTCGTCCTGCTCAGAATTTGATCCTAGAAGCAACAAAAGCTTGGCCATACCACTTCTGTATCTCTCCATTCACTGTCCTTACAGAAAAGCTAACTGAACAAAGTCTTTCACATCTGTGTGGAAAACTAGAGATACATTCTCCCTACCAATCTTTAGATCTAGAGTAAAATTAGAAGACATGTTTCTCAAGGTGAGCAACACTGTCATTTTTCTAAATTTAACAAAACCAATAAAAAGTATTACCAGAGTATTACAGGGAATTCTATTTTCATTTGGTTCATACTGCCAGTAAAGAATGAAGTCTGCTTATTAGGCAAATGGAACAATTTCACAGTCCCTGAGTCCAACCTGCTGCAGATACAGGAAACAGAACTATACTCAGTCAGTGTTTTTTGCTCAAGAAAACTTCCATATTTCCAAATCAGAATTCTGGAGAACAGCAAGTTGAAGACCATGTGTAACACTTTTAAAAACCTACTCCTTTAAGGGTAAAAGTATAGGCTGAGATGCCAAAGGATTGAAGCTGAGGAGAATTAGGATGAAGGGAGAAAGAAGCCAGGAATCAAGATAATCTTGGAAACAACCAGAAATTCCAACTTGCTACTGTCCCAGTTGAAATCCAATGACATCTAAAGGGAGCTGCAGAAGCTCAGAAGAGGGTTCAGTTGAAATTGTGACCACACCGCAGGAAGACAGAGCACACATCTAACCTTTGCTGGTTTTAGTCGGTTCTGAGGACATGTTTCCAGTCTTCTTCTTTTTTCTTGGAACCGATACACATTTCCGGTCAAATGTAACAGGACTATATTGAGGGAGGCTGTTGAATTTTTTTTCAAATTCTTCATCCAGCTTTGCTGAGCTAATAAAAGAGAAGGGATATAAGAAATCAGCGCATGATACAAATATGTAAACAGAAAACAATACAAAACATATGTTACAACATTTCTTTTTAAAACAGGGTTCCTGAGAATTAGGTCATTGTTAATAAATTCTAGGCAAGGAAAAAAAATATCTTTTCAGAAAAGCTGAGATTTATCAACACAGTCTTCTTAGTAAACTCACATGACAGGTTAGCTTAGAAAAGCTAACATCACCTTAGAAAAGCTGAAACATTATTTAAAATATTGGGCATTTTTAAAGTGGAGAATTTACCATTCTCTCCATTGGCATAAGGATTTTTCATTAAGTTCAATACAAAGCATATTCCATCCAGACACGTGCCTCATTCTAAAGATTCATATGTATGCACCCATATTGCCAAGATTATTGGTGATATGGCATATTGGCAATTTCATAAGATTGGTTTTCTTAAAAATATTTATTTTTAAAACACACACACAAAAAATGCAACCAAATATTTTGAGTATTAGAAAATCATCCTGGAGAACTGACTGGGATGAGGATAACACACTCCATGAGAAAAGTAAAGCCAGTTTTCAATGAACAAACTAGCACAAAGGCAATGCCGCTCTGACACTAACCACAAAGGACTTCAGAAATGTCACTAGCAAAGTTGGGAAATCCTTGGGCTGCTTCTGACGGTCTCCAAAGCCCCCACAGCAATGGTAGCATACCTGCTGGGTCCTAGGCTGACTGCTGGCTTTCACTGACAGTGAGACTTATTAACTAAGATGCAGCCCAAACAGATGGGAGAAGCTGCAGGAGAATCGCTGCGCTCAGTGGATGGAAAATGGAAGGCATACTGGGAAGAGAGCAGCTTTGAGAAGCAACTTATAAGAAGCTAATGTATTAGGCTGCTACCTATGGGAGGTCTACCTAAAACTATTCTCAGTTTTGGAAGAACGTACAAGAGGTGGGGAACAGCAATAAGACAGTCAGATAGCCATCAGACTGTTGAAAACAGAAGGCCCCTACCAAGTTCTATCGCAGCTGCAAAGGGTAGTGGGTGGGGGTGATGTTTCTCCCTTACAAAATCATCTTTTTATACTCAACTAAAAATGTTTATACTAATGGAAAATCAGATACCATCTGATACTGATTAGATTTATCAGAAAGCTACCTGTAAGATGTGAATTTTTCAGATACTCTGAATCATAACCCAGAGAAAAATATGAAAACGCAAGATCTAACTGCTAAGGTCTCTTGGTACTCTTTCTCAACTAGCATAATCACCTATGTTTTTCTTGGATAAGTCTATAAACTTAGAACTGCCAATACTGAGTGAATTTCTCTTGGCTACTGTTAACTAAGGAGGTAGCACACATTTTCTGTGGTAGAAAGATTTAAAATGCTCATTTAGAAATCTCAGCTAAGACCGGCAGGAAGTGGCATTTCTCACTGCTCATGCACTATGGCGGTGTGTTCTTAACAAGGCAAACCTAGATAGTCTGAATCTGACAAGCAATTATTTAAAGGAGAGAGAAGGAAAGATCAGAAGTTTACTGTTGATTTAAGTCTGCAAAAAACCTCCTTAGAAATAATTTTTTAAAACAAACAAGCAAACAAACAAACAAGCGACCCACACAGCAGTCTCTTTGCAGGGACAGGTTCTCAAAAGACTGTTTCACTTTTTTATTCCTCGAAGAGGAATGTGAAAACATCTCTCTCATAGCTTTGGTGGTATCTAAGGGAAGCCATCAGAGAACTTCCTGTTGGGGAAGCTTCATGCCTATTGTATTCCCCTGGGACTGCACTATGTCCAAAATGAGAGCAGCTTCGCTCTGGCTGGGTAGACAAACACCAGTAGTTTCAGAAGTTACAGAGCCTTGGTCCTTGGTCACTTTTTTTAGGAAACACTTCATTTGAAAAGTATCATTTGATAATAACAGATGTGATGGTTTTCATGTCATTGTTGAAGCATAATATAAACAAGACTAATTTGAACTGTCCTGGACTTTAAAAAATATTAGAAAGGAAATATGTGAAATTATAAATATATTATCTCAATATAAATAATCTTGAGGATTGTCATGAGAAATAATTTCCACTCTCACACTTTGTAATGACCTAGAGCCTTAAAATTAACCAGACTTTGAAGCACTGTATCATCCAAGGAAAAAATATAGTATTCTGCAAATACAAATGCAAATATTTATGAACAAACCAAATACAATATTCCCAATACATAAAATTTGCATACCTTTGAACACATTTAAGAAAAAATGAGAAATATAAAAATGTATTTCTTTTCAATGTATTCTTTTCAAATTGAGCTAAGAGAAATCCCAAAGGATTTTCAAAACAGTAAAGCTGAATATTCAGATGCTTTCCTCACCAATATAAAATATTAGATCTCATAACTTGCAAAATGCTTTATATTAAGATCAGTATCAGAATCTTTGGCATAACATAAAATGAAATAATTCTTAATGATTTTATCTTGATGTATGCTACTGCTTGACAGTACATTTCAATATATAATTAATTATTGAATATTATTTTTATCTTAGAGCAGAAGAATATGGCTTAAGCAAAACAAGATTAGAGGTAGAAACATAATATTTTTAACCTTACATTTTCAGCTGTCACTGTTTTACAAACATATGTACATGCCTTTAGAAATACTAAATAAGGGCATACAGGATATAAAATGTAAACATATAATATTCACTGCAAACTTCAGATGGGAAAATGTGTCTGGGCAAAAGTAAGGATTTAACATATCATACCACTAATACACAGAGTGGACCTCAATTCAAACTCAGGCCTAAGTTTGATACTTAAAATGTGAATGACACTGTCACTCACAATCATGGGATACACTTAATCTGTACCCCCTAACTATGTCAAGACTGTAGTAAGTGCTGAATGAATACTCAGAGAATAAGCAGTCAGAGGTATATGCTTGCCCTGAAAATCCTACCACACTTGGGGTCTGGGTAGTGCAGCTGACTGTGCTCACAGGCACTCACCCAAGGAGAGAGTCTTCCTTCAGCTTTGTCTTTTTGAACTTCTTGCTCCCACTGGTCCCACTCTGGCTAAACGTCCAGCTTTCTTCATTCCAACACCCTTCATGATCAGAGGAGTTTCCTTTTCCTGAGCTTCGTTTCCCTAAGGAAATTCAAAGGAAAGAATGTGCTCAGTATATTGGGAATGGGAAGAAAATGATCTTAGTTGCTTCACAAATGACCTCCTGATCCCTTAGGCATCATGGCCATGATGTTATTGGTAACTGGTCAGAGAATCAGAGTGATTTGTGATGGACCACTCTTCATAACAGAACACACATGAGAGTGACTTACAGCCTCTGATACAAGTTGCCTTGTCATAATTCAACAGGTATTGCAGGACTCCAGAGACTGACCAACTACTGCTAATTTTTCCATTGGAGAATCAGTTTAGGGTGTGGGTGTCCTTTACGGGTAGGCACTATTAATTCTCCAAGATTTATTGGAATGACATCCCTGGGGAACTACGAGCTCCTGAGGATCTTCATTCAGGGCTTGCTAGACCTAGTATTCACAGATCTCTAGTGTGCATTTAGTTTGGCACAAGGTAATCCCCTAGCCAGATGCTGTATTTTAAACAGATGAATTTATATGAACCACTCTATGGAATAAAGGTATACACATTAATTGGATTCTGGATAATGTTATGTTTTAGGCAGCCTTCACCTTCATTATAGTTTTGATTACCTAATGGGGAGGGCTAGATAAGCCACGTGCCTCTGAATCCTACAAGTCAAGATTCTGCTAAACATATCTGCTTGATTCAGAAAATTCTTTCCATCAGTTTTAGAAAATAGACTAAGAGCTCCAGACACACAATGCTGATCCTTCAAAACAAAAACCCAGCCCGTACCAGTAAAAAAAAGTTTTAATTACTTTAAACACATATTCTGAAGACACTCTGCTCAATAAGTGCTAGAAAACACGAGTAAAATGACAAATGTATGTGATCTATAAACCATAAGGAACAGTACAAATGTAAAATATTTTGATACCACATTGTTCTTTATGGTAGTTCTTTTCAATAATAGGTCTAAAGGAGAAATTCTGCTAGGTTTCAATAAAGTTTTCTGATCTGTAGAAGCCACTTACCTCTGTCAACATTAGCTCTCAGAGAGGTGAGCATGCCCTCAGACACCAGGGTTTTATACAGAGCACCTTTGCAAGACCTCTCAGATTTCCGGGAGCCACAAGTCTCTATTTTTCTGTGAGGTTCACTGTCCTCAGGCTTGACCTGCCCTGATAAGCTGGATGGTAATGCAACCTCCGTGGGGGTCAATGGTTCTGCTTTCACACCCTCTGGCACCACACCAGAAATGTTCTTGCTGGCAGAAATACTAATGAGATCAGGAGATCTTGACTCTTTGGTGGTGTCTGAGGATTTCTCCTTTGACATTTTCTTCTCTCTTGATTTCACTTTTTTCTTTGGTGGTTTGGCATCCAAAATGTTTCCCTTGCCACTTGAGGATGTGCGGGCCTTCTTGCGAGAGGTTTCCCCAAGTTTCTCAATGCCCCAGTCTCCCTTTGCAACAGCTTCAATGGTGTACATGACACTCTCGATATCAGACTCCGAGGACTGCCTCTTTTTGCCAGCCTTCTTGGGTGTGGACTTATCATTTCCATGTCGATCCATTTTGCTTTTCTTCTTTTTCTTTTTTAGCTTTTCTGGTTTGTTTAATGTCGTGGGATCCTCAATGATCATAATTCCATGAGGATGGCACATGTGATCCTTTCTACTGGGAACATCACTTATTATTATCTTGCTACTGGCAGAGTAAGAAAAATCAGAGAAGTGACTGCATTTTTGATCTTCATCTAACTCTTCCTTTTTAGTTTCTTTGGGATCTTCCATTTTTATAGCCATTATATCATCCATTTGCAGCTCCTCAAAATTTCTTAATTCCTTAGAATCTTTTACATTTTCCCCAAATGATTTTTCAAATTCTGCTTCCTTCTGCAAGCTGACTTCATCTGTTCTCTCCATTTTTATTTCTCTTTCTTCCTTTCCCTTCTCCAATTCTTTAATTCTTCCACCATCTGATTCTTCTGCTTTCATTAACTTGGATTCTTCCATTTTCACCCCCTCTGATGCCAGACACATCTAAATAGTTAAAACAAATAGGAGAACAACAAAAATTTCTTATTTTCTATACTCAAATTTAGCTTAAACTTTTAAATGGTCATCCCTTTAAAAAATAATCAAAATTCAACTTTTATAATAAACACTGCTCGTCTGCCAAACTAACTTAAATGATTCAAATTATTGATAATAAAAGGTTTTAGACATTATGATATATTCATTATACTCCTCTTAGACAAGCATATACCTGAATTCTTATTTTCCAGCTTCACTGGAAGCTTTTCCCATGAAAACAAGATTTAGTAAAAGGAAGATGGGATCCAGAGTTGAAGGATCTGAGCCTGAGTCTTAGTTTTGCTACTTGCTAACTTTATAGCTAGAATGAGTCACTTCACTCCTTACTCCTCTGTTCCTTTGTTAAATAAAATCACTTCTTCTCAAAAGATTCTGTGAGGTCTAACAGAGATGGTACACTCCTGGCAATACTTAGTGAATCATCCCCAAACTGTGTTCCGATGTTTGCCCTTTCTTTTTCTGGGGAGAAATGAGAAAAATGGCAACAATTTTTACCTATCTACTTGAAATCAGAAATATGATAATTCATTAAACAACTCCAGAAGGTTTTGGTAAATGAACAGAATTTTATAGGGTCCACAATGCTGATAACCTGAAGATCACTAAAAGCTCTGAAAACTAAATTATTTTTTTAAAACTAACTTGGTGGAAAATCCCACCTCATCCAAATTTACTTGGCTGCAAATTCTGACCAGAACTAATGTGAAACTACTTAAGGTCTTAATCTTACTTAATGTGTCTATTCATATGCTTTTGCTATGAGACTCTGCATTGGGGAATTAACTGCATGGTGTGAGATACATACTGTATCATCATTTCCTAAAACCTAAAACATTCTGAATACCCCAAAGATATCTGGTGGCAATTTGTTTAAATTTTTAAGTTCCCAAAATTTTACCTATAGGACATTAAAGGAGAAACCATGCTGATTAGGCCAAGGACAGCATTGGGATTCTGAAACATTACTCATCTTGTCTACTTTGTATTAAGCAACTTGGAGGGAAAAGAGTAGGGGGCTTGCTTAGCCCCCAAATCACTTAGTCCCCAAATCAAGTACGTGAGTAGGAAACTGATCCATTTTTTTTTAAAGATTTTATTTATTTATTTTTAGAGAGGGAAGGGAGGGAGAAAGAGAGAGAGAGAGAAACATCAATGTGCGGTTGCTGGGGGTCATGGCCTGCAACCCAGGCATGTACCCTGACTGGGAATCGAACCTGTGACACTTTGGTTCGCAGCCCGCGCTCAATACACTGAGCTATGCCAGCCAGGGCTGGAAACTGATCCATTTTTAATCACCATTTTATCAAATGGCAAGTTGTCAGAGATCATTAACACCTGTAAAATCATTTTTCAAATTCAAATTTTTTAATGAATAATATACTGAATTGAATGATCAGAGGCTCTTTTACCTCAGCCCTCCTCCCTGCTTAGTACTTGTCTCCCAGATTCTTCCTTGAGAATTATGTTATGATTAGTAAGTCTGGGAAGAAACTGAAGAAGGGGTGGAGGTGGGGGCGGACAGTGAAAATTTAAAAAATGAACATGACAAGAGCACCAAGCCCTCTGCGTCACTTACAGCGAAGATCTGATATATTAAGGGTTCACAAGGAAGCTTTTTCAGAAAATTGAGTAAGTTAACTTTCAAAAGGCCTCGGCAAGTAGTTATGATGACTAAGAACTTTCCTTTATTAAACCTAAGCTGAAGTGAGGTCACAGCAAAATGTTATCTATGTCTGAAACACTAATATATTTAATTTTCCCTGCATGTTTTACTCTCTTGGGAGATTGGCTGTTTTTTATATCAATTTTGAAGTAGTTTTTATTTTCTTAATTATCCTAGCCCTTCATGAATACAATTATCCCAATGTAGAGACAAAGACTATACTAGCTCTAGAAAGAAAATGAGAGGTATCCCCAAGGTAAATTTTATGTTTTTTCAAACACCATCACTCTGATGGCCTTTACGAAGTCATCTCAGCAACCTTTTACCATAATATGCTGGTTTTTACTGTGATATTGCCAACAGTTTGCATTTGCACAAATTCATCTTATCAAACCTAATAATACTTTGCAAACTCTATTCTCTGCCTCAATATATTTCAAAATGATTCTCCTCATCATCCTTGATAGGGTTCTACAGTGAGGAATGAAATGGAACAAATACAGACGTTCACTCTGGGGACATATTCCAGGAAATAGCATAATATTTCTTCTGAAGTTAATTACACTGAGCACTAGTCATGCTTTACTTCCTTGTCTCAGGCTCTTAAAAGTTTTTTCACAAATAGAGTATGTTAATCCTAAATTATAAGAAAAACAATTATGTTCCTGGAAGTGAAACTATAAAAATAAAACAAATTAACTTCCAATCAAAAACTATAAACCACAAGTCTCGATAACCACAAACCTAAAACAAATCGTTCAGAGTTGGGTGTCACACTACAAGTTATGTGTGATTTAACATTCTTTCCAATGAAGGAATTACCTTGACTACTATATTCCTGAGAGTTAGTTATCCAGTTTTTTACACAAAAGCAATGACTTTAAGAGAGGGCAGTTCTGTTTGAATTTTTTAAATACTGAGCAAAAATCTATCATCTCCTCAGTCCTAGTTTTTCCCTGAAGCCACATAAATTTATCCACTTTCTCTCACGTGACAGTTTCAAATCTGGGAAGACAGACTTTATGTTCCCACAAGTCTCTTCTCCCAGCATAATGTTCCCATTTCCTTTAACTATTCATCACATGTAAATGCTTCCTCATGTTTCAAAGTTGGATCCCTCTTATCTAGAAGCAGTATGGTGTCCTGAAGTGAGAATGGGCTTTATTGAAATTAGCGAGCTTCATGAACAAGCACCAGACTTTGCTTGCCTAAGGCCACATAGGAAGCTGTTATCTTAGACTTGAACCCCTATGAGGAAATAAAGGCTGAGAAATAGGGTAACAGTACATCCTCCACTGGGTTGTTGTGAGGCAAAGGTGAACAAGTGTGTGTGAATACAACTTGTAAATGACATAAAGCTTTACAAGGGTTGGGGAGCAGTGATGCTTCAATTCAGTAATATCTTTCTTAGATTCAGTTCCTACCCTTCCTGTAATATTCTTGAAGAGAAGCAGAACTATTTGTTAGTTGTCAGGGACACTAATCTTCTAATTGGCCCAAAGATAAATCCCACCTTCCCCCAACCCCTACCTAAACAGAGGTCACACTTTTGGTTTGTGGTTAGTTAAAATCCTGGATTTCTTAATCCACATAATGTTGGGAAGCTACTAGGCCTCTCCCATTCTATGTCTTTATATTTTTTGTAACAGATGCAAGATTTTCCATATTCTTTATAAAGTTTATCCTTTCAAACTTTGAATTAAATCACCTATCAGCTTTGTGTTACGGACACATTTGATAAAAACTGTTTTATGTCTTTGTCCAGATCTTCGGTAATAATGTTGAGTAGGATGAGGCCAAGGACAGAGCCTTCTGGTAAACCTTTAGAGCCCTTTCATCAGGTTGACTTGAACATTAATAAACTTTAACAATCTAAGAATTCATAATGCAGTCTAAATTCCTCCTATTTTGTTCACAAGGACATACGATGATCTGTCAAAAGTCTTGCTGAAATCTGTATATATAATATGCCAACAGCATTAGCCTATTTTATAATCATACCAACCAGAAAATGAAAATAGCTTGTGCACCAGTGAGGGTCTAACTAGGCAAACAGAAACAATTTAAGCATATCTAGCTGAGGAAATTTAATGCATAGAATAAGTTGGTTACACAGGTCATGAAGAACTGAGACACTTGAACAGGAGGTGGTGATGCCACCCAGGGATTTGCTACAGCAGAAAGCCACAGTAGGTATAAGAATTGCTACTGAAGCCCAGGGACTGGGTCCCCAGTAGAAGGTGGCACTGTGGTGGGCCTGTATGGGGAGAGCTGGAGGCATGGAAGAGATGCTGCCTTTGCTGTGCCTCCAACCCTCCTCATCTCTGCACCACCCGGCCTCCCTTTTCCTCCCTTTCACATCCCACCAGTGTCTTTCACTAGCTGAACCCAGCTGGAAGTCAGGGGACCCAGGAACCCAGGAAAGGCAGTCTGCAGCCACCTGGAAAATAAAGCCAGCACACAGGAAGAACAGACTCTAGCCTAGCACAACTGACAATGACTTTTTTCAGGAAGACTTTGATAATTTCCAGTTTTTATCTCCTTTTCTATGAGTTCTAACATTATATTCTTAGAAATAATTTTCAAAAGTCTCTAGGAATTAGCAGTCTATATTTCTACACAACAACCACAGAACCTGGGAATAGTTATGGATGTAACAACTCTTAGACAATGCCATCACTCTTACATGTGTGCAAATTCTATACTGAAAGGCAGTCACAAAAGGCAGGGATTCTAGAGCCATACTGTGCAGAACTGTAGACTGATAAGTTCATTTTCTCTAAATTTTTCTGTGCCTCAGTTTCCCAATCTATAAAACAAGACTGTTAATAGTATTTGCCTTAGGAATACTATGAGGCCCAATGAGGTGCACATGTATCATACTTAAATTACTGCCTAGTACAAAACAAGTATATATTGTGACAACCACCCCTTTGGAGCCTTATACCATATAGAATAGATGTTGGCCATTATTGTTAGTAGCAATATTCATAAAGATATCATTACTAGCACATCATGACCCTAGTAGACTAACTGCTTTACTCTCATTTTTCCTTGTAGTGTTGAATGATTCTACAGTTGAAAAAGAAACATATAAAACAAAATTAGATTCAGGAAGGTCTTAAATCAGTTACCTTTCAAGAAGCAATTCTTAATTAAGCTCAGTTCCACTTCTGGGTACAACCATATCTACTCACATCTACTTTGGGTGCATATATCAACACTTCAGTGGGATTTAACAAAGTGCATACACACTACATTATATAAGTACGCAAGGACATGT